TTGACACTATCTACTGCCTCATTTCACTCGAATATTTCGACATTTGACTTCATTCCGGGATGCAAGAAAAATGCTGGGAACTGTTTTTTGTTGAGAAAACAAAAAAAAACTGTTGCTGCAATGATTTGGTAGTAAGAAATGGTTAATTTCCTTGTTAGTATTGCATTGACTAATTTAGAGTCAAGACAACCAACCGCCTCCATTAAACAGCGAAATGCTTTTCCAATCTTTAAAACTGCACAATGTAGTGGACGAGCTCATCAACATCAATGAGATTCCATTTCAGAACGCCTACTGCACATTGCATACGAAAATTCCTCAATTAGGAAATGAGACAAAGTGTTCTTATCTCATGAGCTCACAAAAATACGAGACGAGCTTTATGATGATAGATTATTTCATGAGTGCTGAGTGTTGTGTGTTGAACGACAGATCGTCGAGGATCCAAATGAGAAGAGCTGTGGCGCCATCTCTTATACACAGATCGGCTCGGGCAAGCGAATTTCATCTACGATGTTGTCCTTTTTTTGTAATCGAAACTCTTTCCACCTCCACCATTAACGCTTTGAATGTGTCAATTTGATCGAAGAACTCGAAAAAATCAGCAAAAATATCCACGTTTTTCGTTTCCATTTCGAGTGCTTTATACAAACTGAATGACTCTTGGTCAAGAATCAGCCAGAAAAGATTTCTCTCAAAAGTGACTTCGCGGAAATGAGCACGTTTGCTGGCGGTTGGCTAGAGAAAGCTGATAAGAGTTTTTGTCGCAAAAATCGGCTCTACAATGAAAACATGCAACAATGGTTGAAGAATCGAGAAGAATTGCATCTAATCCGCTACGAAGCCCTCGATTTTCCATCGTTTGTCTAGCCATTTTGAAAGCGAACGGCAGCCTTTGAAAGCCTTTAAAAGGAAGAGCGTGTGGCTCTGCAGAGAGCGAAATTCTTTTCCAATAGACGATTCTCGTTGCAATGCGCTACCATTCTCAAATCTAGATATAGCTAAATATTAGGTTGGCGACATTGAAATTTCGTTTGCGTTTCTCTTTATGGATTTTAACACTGTGGATACTATTACCGTCGCAATCTCTTCTGTTTTAAAGATATAATTATTGTGCTTTATTACGCGTCTTTTCTTTATTTCCAGTTGAAGAATTTAGTAAAAAAATCTTATAGATGCTAGACGACCTCAAAATATCGACTTCGCATTTGTTGCTGTCGCGATTTCAAACATGAAAAAAAAGCAACTGAATCGCATGAATCACTTTGTAACGTATTTGAGAAAGATGTTATCACTGTTCATCGATGTCAAAACTGGTTCAAAAGATTTCGAAAGGGTGACAGAAGTCTGGAAGATCTGGGACGAGGACAAACAACGATTTGAAGCGGATAATCGAAAGTGATCCGATAAAGACTACATGGAAACTTGCGGAATATTTTAATTGTGATCATAAAACAACCGAAAACCATTTGCATGAATTGGGCAAGCTCAATAAAGCTGGAAAATGGATTCCACATTCATTAAGCGATGCAAGCAAAGCCATCAGAGTTCTTTGTTCAGGAAATTTGCTTAGAATTTTCAAGAATAGTGGATTTTGGGATGCAATTTTAACTTCTGACAAGAAATGGATTCATTATGACAATATTACAAGGATAAGACAATGGCTCAATCCGGGAGAAATTCCAAAGCCAATACCTAAACCAGATTTTCATGGAAAGAAAGTTATGCTGTCGGTTTGGTGGAATACCCGAGGCCTGGTCCATTTCGAAGTGTTAATTTCTGGTCAGACTATTGATGCAAATCTTAAAGAATCTTAATGCAAAAGACAACTAGATCGCGCGGACGCGGTTCTTCGCTCAAAAGGAATTGATCCGACAACGGTGCGATTGTTACAAGACAATGACTGTCCTCACGTTGCCAAAATTACGCAAGAGAAGATTGAGCAATGGGGCTGGGAACTTCTAGTTCATCCGCCTTATAGTCCAGATATTGCCCCGTCTGACTACCATTTCTTTCGAAGTATTCGGCATTCACTCGAAAGCCACAAGTTCCAGAACATCGAAGACATCAAAAAATGGGTCTCTGCTTTCTTTCAATCAAAACCAGCACAATTCTTACAAGAGAGTATCCATAATTTGCGTCAAAGATAGAAAAATGTTATTGGTAGCTGGGGGGAATCTATTGTTGATTAATTGTTTCTAGTTTATTTTTACGAATAAATTTTGTTGTTGCTCAAAAACGAAATTTCAATGTCGCCAACCTAATACATTCCATTCAAAGGTTTGATCTATTTACAAAGGAAGAATGATTGGGTTCTGTGACCTTTTCCGATGACCATTGGACGCAGTATTTTACGCTGATTCCCATAAAAAATACTTCCAAAAGTCACGATGGTGAGCTTTGCGGAGAAGCAAAGAGCTCAGGGTGAGTCGTATGGGGGCATCAGTGAGATCGTGGGGGGAACCATTTCCCGCTTCGATATGATTTCCCAAGAACGTGTGAATGATTTCCAATGGTAACATGAGTGCATCCAAATGAAGCTTGGTAAAAATTTCATATTTACCAAGCTAATATTTACAAAGGAAGAATGATTGGGTTCTGTGGCCTTTTCCGATGACCATTGGACGCAGAATTTTACGCTGATTCCAATAATGTAAAAATTAGCTGCAGAATGATAGGTAATCACCGCCAAACTGGTATAAAAATTTTGAGCCTCTTCTTTTAAACCGAATTTTTTTCAACGCAAACGATTCATCGGTGGCCGAGTGGTTGAGTGGTTGTACAGCAAAAGCCAAGAGTTCGAACCCAACCATTCATTTTCATTTTCATTTTCAGTTCATTTTCATTGCTTTTTCCAGGTAGAAATTCAGTTTTTCTATTCTTTTTTCTAAAGAAACTCGGCTTTTACGCGTGCAGCACTAGGAAAGTCTATCAATATCAGTTGGACTGTGCACATCAACTCGTCGAACTCTCAACAATGGCCATCGAAAACTCAAATCCAAATTTATTCTCCGGTCCCGGGTCGATACTCCTTTCAATAAGGTAAAAAACCCTACCACTACTTTCTTGGGTTGACAAAATTTTTCGAAAATCAAAATGATGATCGAGTGAGCCTAATGCATCACCCTAAAAATCACGAAGCTGACGAAAAGATTTCTCACTTATGAATATCTGTGATTGTGAACTTACACTTTAGACAAATGCTTTTTAATAGCTGTGAGGAATCACGAAAAATGACACAAGTAAATAGTCAAACATTTATTAAAACAGTAAAGAAAAATACAAATACGAATAGAATGGAACAATGGATGACTGTTTTTAAAAAAGAGACTGAACTACCAGAGAAAATCTAGTATTCGGGGTTAATGAATGGGAAAGACAAAGTGATTTGCCGTTCAAGGAGCGGGGATTAATGGCGCTGGCGTTGTAGTGGACGGTGTGGCTGTGGGGCATGCATCAAGTATGGTGCCAGCGTACCACGCAATTTGTTGCAAACAATCGTAATAGACATAGCAGTACCAATCGCCAATTGTTTGCTATAAATCGAAGCTTTCGTTTGACTAACGTTTAAAATATAACTCACCCCGCCATATTGCCATTTTCCATCAGGCGAGCAGACAAAAGGAGCTTCTGGCTTGGTATTTACCTGAAGGTTTTAAAGTTCTTTTCTTTTTATTGAATATAGTTGCTGTTACATTTGAATCTTAATAATATTTCATTTCCGCTTACCGATCCACAACCACAGACATAGCCGAATGGACCCGGTGGTCCAGCCGCTGCGTGGGCGCCAATTGCTAACTGGAAAATCAGATTTTATCAAAAACAAAAGGTTATAGTAATAAGGAGAAAGAGAAAGAGAGAAAGACAAGGAAGAAAGATAAAGAAAGTGAAACAACAACTCACATAGTCATTAAGTGCCTCTCCACTGCAATTCCCGCTCACTTGAGCGCAGCCAGTGACAGAATCATAACTGCAATCATATTTTTATTCTTTCGATACATGTGCCTCGTAACCAACCCGAAAACTGGTGTGAAAATGGCTGAGTTTGGTTTTCCTAAAGCAAGAAGTTCAGCAAGTGTGCAACGGGCGCATGCTAAATGATTCGATTATGAAAAGACTGGTGACTCTACTATTTTTATAACAATACGTATAGGCGGATATAACATACTTATGGACGGGACTTAACCTTTTGCCTCATAACTTTGAATGGTTGTTATATTTTGAGTTGATTTTGGTATCATTCAATCTAGTAATCTTATTCTGCATCGAATGTTAGTCAAAATGGAAGGGTTGATGGTGAGAAAACCTTAAATTGCCAACGGCAAAAAATAACCGACAGATCTTTTTCGTTACAAGTCTATAACATACGATTAGCTGGGGTAGTGGCAGTGGCTTTGGCTGTCGTTTTTCTTGTAGTAGTGGTAGGTTTTGTTGTTGCTTTTTTAGTAGTCGCTTTTGTTGTCGCCTTCTTTGTCGTGGCTTTGGTTGTCGCTTTTTTAGTGGTTGGTTTAGTTGTCGCCTTTTTGGTGGTCGGTTTAGTGGTTGCTTTTTTGGTAGTCGGTTTCGTTGTCGCCTTTTTGGTGGTCGCTTTAGTTGTGCTCGTCTTCGTAGTGAGTTTAATGACACAAGTTGGCGCCACATAATCGGTGGGCAAGGTAACGTTTCCACAGATATACTCATTTCGATTTGTGTCCAACCACTTCTCGTACCCAGCAGCACACGTGGACCCCGCAAAAGTACACATGGCCATCGGACAGGGAACAGTACGCAAATGAACGCCGCTAAACGATCTGTTTTAGGAAATTTCTCGATTCATTTGAATCTTTTAGACTTTACCACTTTTATTTCGATTAAACTGGCTATTTTCGGTTTGTGTAATCACAAAACAAACCGAAAGTGGCCAGTGTGATCGAAGCATTTGCCAACTAATCAATCAGATCAATCAATCAATACAATAGAATAATATCAACTTTGAACTTTATAGGAAAGGCTGACCTGCACGGGCATCCAGTATCCCCTGATGTGCACGTTCTTATCTGATTCTTTTTACCATTCAATCCACAGCTCTTTGTGCAATCCGTAGTGTCTCTCCAACGGGACCAAATCCCTGAAATGACCCTCTTCTGAATAAATCTTCAATCTGAATCTGATTCAATTTACACTAACCACCAGTGGGACATTTGGTACAGATGGGAAGCGAGAGAATCGCTGGCAAGACTGAAACTTATGTTTTTATCGTATTTAGCTTAAGTTTAAAACTCAAAATCATTTACCGTGAGACAAGAGAACGGCGAATAGAAGGTACATCAGTTTGGTTGAGAAAAGCGTTTGGTCTTAAGAAAAGACCGAACAGGGAATCTTTTATATGGAATCATTTGAATAAAGAACATAGCTTTGAAAATATTCTAAATGGAGGGGCCAAACTTTGAACCAAACCCTCATTGTATTCGCATTCTACACCCATGATCATTCTATTCATCCAGCAAACTGGCGTTGACTTCCCGCAACGAGAACACACTGCCAGTTACCAGGACAACAAAGGACGCGGGACAAAGGACAAAGCCTGACATTGACAAAAAAGGTCACGGTTTATATTTGGGTTACAAAGCTCGGCATGCATCCAGCATCCATACATAACGATAGAGGATCTGCAAATTTTTTTTTCTGGTTCAGAATACAACTGTGTTTATGTGACTGTGTTCTGATGTTTATCAGAAAAGCTATACAACTTTTTGTTAGTAAGTGAGTTTTCGCTTCCCACTCTGTAGGTTTGGGGTTGTTTGTTTTTTTTTCCCCCCTGAAAAACAATAATAAGGTCTTATTCAATGTTCTTCTTTCAGCTCACCGTTGTTGGTCGCTTTCGTAAACGAAGCATCGCCACATATTTGATAAAAGGGCTGAAGGGGACGAGCATAAGGTAACTTTGACATTCTCACATGTTTCATATTTATTTTCAGGAAAAACTGCTACTTCCTCGATCTGTTTGTCCGCAAAAGTGATGTGGCTGCGATCCGCGTCTACGAATCACTTGGATACATTGTTTATCGGTAATTTTTGGTACTTTGAACTTTGAAAACTTTGAAAGTATTTTTGTTTTTAGTGAAATCATTGATTATTACACGAGAGAGAAATCAGAGAATGCTTATGGTTAGTTTTTCTGTTGCTAAGTTAGCGAGATTTCTAAATTTGATAAAAAATTGCAGTATAGAGTTCCTTTGACAAATGTACAATACAATCAACTTTAGATAAACGAAAAGCGATTCCACGTGATGTGAAAAAGAAGAGCGTCGTCCCGTTTGAACATTCAGTACAACCAACGACGCCGATTGATATCAATACATTTTCGTTGTTCATGATAAACTACTCTTCTAAATTGTTGTTTTTGTCTCTTTCTCTCAATTGTTTTTCAACGTTT